AAGTTGAGTCAGCAAGTTGTTTTCCCTGGAAAGACATCTTTTGATTTGTTACTTGGGTCTAAAATTCTTTCTTGCTCATGGTGGTGGCGCAGTGGTTAGAATGCAGTATGGCAGGCTGACTCTGCCCACATCCAGGAGTTCAATCCTGAGCAGGTCAAGGTTGATTCAGCCTTCCATATGAGTGTAGCACACCCCAAAAGAACAGTGCCAGGAATCACTAAAGCAGTGTCAAGAACTAAAAACAGCCCTTCCCCTTTAAGAAAGTCCCAGCTGAAAGAGCAGCCACTCAAGCTAATTGAAATTCTGGGCATGCTGCCAAAAGCAGGGGTGGGCTGCTACAGGTTCACCCCAGGTCGGACGAACCCGTAGCTAATGTTATGGCCAAATTGGAAAATTGGCAAATCCCACCCTTGGCTGGCTCCACCCACCCCACCCCTCCCACCCCATCCTGCCCCCCCCAAAAGTCTCCATGGGGTCCATTTTGGATGCAGGTTAAGTGCAGGGCCCACACAGAGGCTCGGGGAGGGTAAAAAAGGGCCTCCTGGAGGTTCCAGAAGAGGCTCTGCAGCCCGGGGAGGCTGTACTCACCCTCCTGGAGGCTCGAGGAAAGCCTCCAGAGCCCAGGGAAGGTAAAAATGCCCCCCATGGCACAGGAGGCTGACTAGGCCATGCCCAACATGGCCACACCTGCCCAGAAACTGGACAGAGAACCGGTTGCTGAAATTTTTGGAGCCCAACCCTGGCCAAAAGCCATTAATAGCTGTTACAAAGTATAATGAAAGTATAATGAAACCTGACCACAAAAGCAGCCTCAAAACACTTGAATAGGGCCATCAAGTTAAATGGAATCAGACTAAAAATAACTCACTAAAGCACACCACACTTTCCTGCCTCCCTGACAGGATCAACCCCTAGGATAGGGGGAAAAAAAAGATTTTGGATCAGGATTAACCCAGTAAAGCAGGAAAACAAAAACCTAAGCCAATCAATCATTTCAACTAGAGGCACATCAAAACCCCTCAAACTGTAGAAGCTTCAAAGGAAAATCAAGTATAAAAAGGCATAGGCTTTCCTCGCCCAATCTGCTGGCTAGCCAGGAACACTTGAGCTGTGCCATTAATAAGTTCTGCTTTCTGGCAGCTTGCTTTGATGTCAATTTCTTCTCAGTTCTGGTGACTGCTTCCCAGCTGGGGAATGAATGAAGGAGATTTCTTCCAACACATCCTTTCAAGATCAGTAAAATAAGGACCCAGATTTTTGACATTGTAAACTGCTCAAAATGCTGTAAAGCTTTTTGTAGATTGGTATATAAGTGTTATTGCTATTTCTGAAAACCAGGTTAAATAAACTCAGCAGATATAAGTTCATCCTCTATCTGAACAGAGGAAGACAGTCCCCATTTCTTTCTTATTGCAGATTGATTTCCTTCACATGCAATCATTCATGCTATTCCTATTTCCCAATACATTAAAGTATGTGATTTATGAGAAATCTTACTTTTCCTTCTTGCAGATGCAAAAAAATGTACCCCTTGTCCAGAAGATCAACATCCAAACATCCTTCGAGATCAGTGTATTCCCAAGATTAAAACCTTCCTATCCTACCAAGAGAATCTGGGGATCATCCTGGCTTTATTTGCCTCTTTACTCTCTTTCCTCACAGGCTTTGTCTTGAGAATCTTCATTAACTTCCAAGACACTCCAATCATCAAAGCCAATAACAGAGACCTTTCCTACATTCTCCTGGTCTCCCTCCTGCTTTCCTTCTTCACTCCTTTCCTCTTCATTGGCCAGCCAACCAGAGTCACTTGCCTTCTCCGACAGATAACCTTCAGCATCATCTTCTCAGTTGCCATTTCTTCTGTCTTGGCAAAAACAATCACGGTGGTGCTGGTTTTCTTGGCCACAAAGCCAGGGAATAAAGTTCAGAAATGGCTGGGGAAGAGTTTGGCCAACTCTATTATCCTTTCTTGCTCTGGTCTTCAAATTGTCATTTGCAGCAGCTGGCTTGGCACCTCTCCCCCATTTCCTGACTCTGACCCACACTCTCAACCTGGAGAGATCATCCTGCAATGCAATGAAGGATCCGTCACCATGTTTTACTGTGCTCTTGGCTATATGGGATTCCTGGCTGCCATCTGTTTCATGGTGGCTTTCCTGGCCAGGAATCTGCCTGGAGCCTTCAACGAAGCCAAGCTGATCACCTTCAGCATGCTGGTCTTTTGTAGCGTCTGGGTCTCCTTCATGCCCACCTATCTCAGTACCAAAGGGAAGTACATGGTAGCTGTGCAGGTCATCTCCATCTTGGCCTCCAGTGCTGGCCTTCTGGGCTGTATCTTTTTCCCCAAATGCTACATTATTTTCCTAAGACCAGATCTGAATACAAAAGAATATTTAATGTCGAAATAAAATAATCAAGTGCAATTTGTGTAGGTGGTTCCCAAAATTAATGACAGTTCATATTTTACCAGAGTTGGACACTTTATTGAGCTTTTTAAAAAATAAACAAAAGCTAAAGGATATTGTTCTGATTTTATCAATTTCTCCATTGTTTCTTCAGATGATGGAAATGTTCTACCAGCTTTTAATAAATGTGATTTCTCCTTTTCTCTTTGCTACTGAGCATTTAGAAAAGTTCATGAGTGTGTATGGATACTTTCGGTGAGTGTGTAAAAAAATATTTCCCAACCAAAGATGAGGACACAATTATCTTTAAGCACATTTTTTTAATTTGATAGCAAAAAGTGGGGGCTAATGTGAGCTGGAATCCCTCCACATGTTCTTATGTAAATTGGAGCAGAGGGGTGATAAGATATAGAAGCAGGTTATCTGAACTGCTACAAACAAGAATTTGATTGGATACAGAATCAATATTTAGTGAGGTTGATGAAATGTGTCATCATGCCAGCTCTTATACATTTTTTTCTCCATGACAATCTGTGCTTAAATTGGTATTTTAAGCAAAACCAATTACATTTTTGCATTTAAAAGTCACAGCACAAACTTTTACTTATTTTATTGCCTTCTATTATTTTGTCTTCTTGCATTATTTTGCTTCATTTTATTTTATTTTATTAAAAGGCAGAGCATCTCGTGGGCTTTCAGATTCTCAGAGCAATTTCTTCTCTCTTATTGAACAATTCATCAATCACTCAGAGGCTTCTGGACTTCAAAGATTAGATTTCCCCAACCCCCACCCCCAGAAAATAACTGCCATATAAATTTAATGTCAAACATAACTACCACATAAATCTAATGTCAAAAATGTAAATCCATTGTAGTGTAATATTATATCAAATTTCTTGAGGCAATTATTATAACAAAAATGCTTTTACTGTAACGTTATTCTTTATACAGCATTACTTTCTCTCTCTTTCTGTCATCCAGTTACACCCACTATTAGACTAGAATCTCTCAGTCACTGTCACTCACACTTTGATCACCTCCTGTCTGGATGATTACAAGCCACTCTACATGAACTCTGACTACCCGGATCCTAGTTTTGGACAATCTGTTTCATAGTCAAAGATCAAAAATAAAATAAAAGCAGGGAGAAAATTGAATAATGGAATTACTAGGTATGTTTAACTGATATGGTAGTTAGCATTTGGAGAGAGTTTTGAAAGGTTGAAAATAAGCATTGAAAGATTATGAATTAATGTGAAATATATTTCATGTATTCATAATTATGTATACACTTTTACTTATTATCTCGTAAACAATTGACAAATAAATAAAATAAATAAATATGCATTGAGAGATATGATTGATATTATTAATTTTGCCTATACTAAAATGTATGATATATTGATGCCACACTATTAATGTATTGTTGTGCATATGCAGATTGAAATAAAAAAAATGGGAAAAAAAAAGATCCTAATCTTTTCTCCTTATCAATCCACCTCAAGCCTAACAGCATCGCATCAGCGAGCTCTTGCAAATGTATTTTTCTCCAGATGTACCTGTGATCATGGAGCATCAGAGAAAGTTGAAGCGGTCACCAAGGAGAAGCTTCTCCTTCTAATTATCAAAGCCATAAAAATTGCTCTTTCTCTTGATCCTCATCAACCCTCCAAAGTTTTCCCAAAAGAAGAACTTGACATCTGCAAACATCAGACTCAAGACCAACCCATGTCTTGCATCAGTCTGGAAAGCAAAGGAATAAATGTCTCCCCTGTTACTTGAGAGCCAGGAACAAGTTGTTCAAAGGTGGAACTGACTTCTTCCCAAGCCCTGAAAGATGTGGAAACCATGGCTGGCTCCATCTGCTTTGAGAAAGACACTGAATGGCCTAGGTCTTCAAGGGGGCTTCAATTGCCTCCAACTTTCCTTCAGACTGATTGAGAAGAGTGGCTGCGAGGCCATAGAAAGGATGAGCCTGCAGCATCTGCTTCTAATGCTAATTCTGACCCACACTGCCTGTGGGATGCAGAGAGTGAAATGTCCTTTGACTTTGGAACAGTATGGAATGGAGCCATTGAATCACTACAAGCCAGGAGATTAACTCATTGGTGGCATACTCTCCCTAAGAAAAACATCTCTCCTTCAAGCATATATCTTGTGTAAGTTTCCTATAGTTACTACTGGTTTCAGCTAGTTCAACTATCAAGAATTATTGCCACAATTCTCTGCCTGCGTTAGACAGAAAAATGCACTGTTGACTTTAGGGAAATACATTAGGAACGTACATATTCCAAGTGTGGCCTTACCAAGGCATTATAAAGCGGTATTAACACTTCATGTGATCTTAATTCTATCCCGCTACATAAACAGAGGGATAGAATCAAGATCACGTGAAGTGTTAATACCACTTTATAATGCCTTGGTAAGGCCACACTTGGAATACTGCATTCAGTTTTGGTCGCCACAATGTTAAAAAGATGTTGGGACTCTAGAAAGAGTGCAGAAAAGAGCAACAAAGATGATTAGGGGACTGGAGGCTAAAACATATGAAGAACGGTTGCAGGAACTGCTCTAATGAAAAGAAGGACTAGGGGAGACATGATAGCAGTGTTCCAATATCTCAGGGGCTGCCACAAAGAAGAGGGAGTCAAGCTATTCTCCAAAGCACCTGAGGGCAGGACAAGAAGCAATGGGTAGAAACTAATCAAGGAGAGGAGCAACTTAGAACTAAGGAGAAATTTCCTGACAGTTAGAGCAATTAATCAGTTGAACAACTTGCCTCCAGAAACTGTAAATACTCCAACACTGGATGTTTTACAAACGATGTTGGATAATCATTTGTCTGAAGTGGTGTAGGTTTTCCTGCCTAGGTTTGGGCTAGAAGACCTCCAAGGTCCCTTCCAACTCAGTTATTCTATTCTATTCTATATTTCTAAGAAAGCCATGCAGGCATGAATGCAGCACAGAGGAAGAAGATGAATTAAACCCTGAGGGATAGTGAGATCATTCTGCTCTTAAACTGGTTAGGATCCTCCCTCCATGAATCCATCAGAGTTGCCAGACTAGGGAAAAAACATGCTTTGTACCATGTTTGGAAGAGTAACGTTTAATATAGCAATGAGAAGGAACTGATGGATCTCCATTGGCCATTCAAGGGATGGGGCAGATTTTTGTTCCAATAGAGCAAAAGACAAAACTGCCAAAGGTAGAACTGGATCCAACAGGAACAAATATAAGGAAGCAGATTTCTGCAAAACATTCATAATTCCTTCATCGTGATAGTTGCTCAGATAAACCTAGCAGGTGTTTAGAGTATATTACCCATCATTTCTTTCCACAGGTGAGTCTCTCTTGGGCGAATACAAGCTGATGTTTGATATGATTAGGGAAGATCAGATGGTTTTGCCTTAAGTAAGAGAATTAAGGCAGTAAAACAATCCCTCAGAAAATGAAGGATGAGGGCTGGTGAAGGTGAGCTCTCCCTCCTAGTAGTTGCAGAAAGATTGATGGTTTTATTGGAAGAATTAAGCATAAAGTAACAGAATAACAGAAGGGACCTTGGAAGTTTTCTAATACAACCCCCTGCTCAACCATTTCAGACAAATGGTTGTCCAAACTTTAAAATCTCCAGTGTTGGAGCATCCACAACTTCTGAAGGCAAGTTGTTCAACTGGTTGATTGTTCTCACCGTTAGGAAGTTTCTCCCCAGTTAAGTCTCCTTAATTTAGTCTTGTTAGTTTAGTTTAATCTCTTCAATGTAGTCTCCTAAGTATTTCAGCTTTCTTTTATTACTGAGTTCCTTATTAAGTCTTATGAACATTGCGACTCTGTCTTCCCAGGCCTTTGGCAGTCTAAATTGAGGTGTCATTTAGTTTCAGACAACCTCTTTCCTGTCATTTGATGTTGATTACTAAGATCTCACCTGTTATTTTCCCAGACTCTTCATAAATCTCCTAGATGGACTGGGGGCAGGGAAACACAGGACCAAGTCTATCCCTCACCCTGGAAGCTCAGTGGGTGACTTTGGGTCAATCACCAATTCTTAGTCAAATGACTTAGCAAGTTGTTGTTAGGAAATACTGCTACATGTGCCACTCTGGGTTTCTGGGGAGAAGGTAGTGTAGTAGTGAAGGTGTTGGACTGGCAAAAGGGATGGAAAACCAAAGTTCTACCCTTAACTATGGACTGAATTACTTAGAGCCAGTCCTTCTCTCTTAGCACAACCTACCTAGTGGGTTTATTTTGCAGGAGAGAAGCTATGCTACATCTGAATCTCCTATCCTTCTTATCTGCCCTGCAAGATGTCAACCAGGATCCCCAGATCTTGTCCAATGTCACCCTAGGCTACAACCTTCATGAGAATTATTTTGACACAAGAATAACTACGGATGCTTTGTTCAACCTTCTCTCAGCTGGACAAGCAAACACCCCAAATTACAAATGTGAAAGGAATCAGAATCATTTTCTGGCTGTCCTTGAAGGGACTGATTCTGATATCTCCATCCAGGTTTCGACCATGTTGAGCTTCTACAAAATCCCATAGGTATTAGGGGGGATTTACAATCTAACTGAGGTCCTCATTAGGCATCTCCTTATACTTCTGCATCACCAAGGATTCAGGGCCCTCCTCCAGACTTCTTCCAGCTGATCAATGGCCTACTGAAAATACCATGTCCAGTATCTTTCACAGTACTCCAGACTTATCCAGACCTAGCTATACATGCACCCTTGAGGTAAGACTTTGAGTCTTGCTAGAGTAAAAACTAATAAATAGACAAATTGAAGTGAGAAGGCAAAGAAGGGTGAAATTGTATAAACATTTTCCTTTACAGAAGGAAAATACAATTCTGCAAATGTTTTAACGTACCAGTATTTATTTTTCTTTTATCCTCAAAGATAAAATACAAAAAACAGGGGGGGTGGGGTTTAAAAAAAATTAACAAATATTCAACACTAACAATGAAAAAAGGATCCTGGGTACAAAAAGAAAAAGAAAAGAAAAATCAAATACCAAATAGATCTAACATTAAACATAAAAAAAAAAATCCATTGTGGCTGAATTCTGAAATATGTTCTCTCCCCCATCCCTCTTAAGTAACAGATCTACAAACAATTATAAACTTTCTCATTTATATTTAACAAAAATGCAATATTAGATAAACAAATATTCCCAATGTGGAAATCTATTTGTCTAATAATCAAATCAAATCTGTTCACAATATATACAGTATGCTTTTAAAAAGTCAACAGGTTACTCCAAAGGTAAAATTAATCCCTCTGTTAGCCATTGTATTCAATGAGTAGAAATCCACAAATGGCTTCCATTCTTTTATAAGGTTGTCTAATCCGTTATCTTTTAAAATCTTCTAATGCCTTGAATCGCCTTACAGGGGAGATAGATGTTATAAAAAAATTAACTAATTCGTTCATCCATTCATTGATATGCACCCCTCCATTCATGGCAGGAAGCTTCATGCTATTCTAGACAAATGGATTTATTTGAAAATATCCAGTGATAG